ATAACGCATGCAAAGCCATTCTTGTAAGAGAAGACTGCAGGATTGACAAGGTAAATTTTGCATTTGTCAATTAAAATATTAATCACAGCTTACTCAATTTCTGCTGTGGTTTTCGGAAGGTATAATAGATATTAATTTTTTCTGCGTCTGCCAAATGAGCTGTCTCTTTTTCTCAATAAATTAAGTTTTGTTACTGATATTGATCATTGTTGGGTGAGGGATATTCAGTTAAGAAACCAAAAATTATTTTGTGTTTGTATATATTGATTCTACAACTTACTACCATGCTTTACGATGAGCCATAAAAATTAAATACATCCAAGCAAAATAGATTAAAACAAACTGTACCTTTTAAAAATTATTTTCCCATGCACACTAAAGAAGCTTTGGTTTGAGTTTGGGTTGATTAGTGTGTTCATTAACCTGTACCAGTCTGCTATCAGTAATTTCCTCCATACCGAAGACATTTGAATTCAATACATTTTACATATTTTAAATATTTCAGTTGCATTATTTAGTTCTTACCTCCTTCTGTTTTTGTCTCCATTTAATCTGGAAAAAAGAATAGATTCTAATTCCAAATGGGACCTAGAGTACATGACTGTTACAATATATTCTAAGTTATAGCTTTATTTTGAGAAAAAATATTGTTAAAGTTGGATGATAGTTTTCAAAGAAATATACCTAAAACAATTGAACTGGTGGCCAAGATTTTTTTTGTAACCAACATTAAGAAAAAGGTGCTCACTCGGTTATAATCACTCTTTCAGCTGTTTATTCTCAAAACATTCAAAAGGCTCAATGTTAACATTGAGGTAAATTAAAGTACCACATAGCTAGATCAGTCAAACCACTAACTATAAGGCTGTGATTTGCATGTCAATTATTGATGAGTCTGGGAAATAATTAAATTTATAGGCATATGCAATAAAAATTGTTCTCAGCTATATAAAGTTCTGAATAATTGTTTGATACAATGAGTAAGCTAGTGAAGCAGTAATATTTTTAGCGGGGCTCCCGCGCCGGGCGCGAAGCGCGCGTGGGACAGAGCCCCATACTCACTTTTCGCAATTTTCGTAACACTCTAGCAAACGTTTAGGGATTTTTTATTACAGAGTTCAATCATAGAAAGTATCTCAGGTGATTGACCAAACGTAGGTCGGGGTAAGGCCTGGTTAGTCTAGTCATTTGCCTCGCAATTATTCATACAAGAAAATTGTAAAGGCTTTGTTTCATCCGCATTTCATGATTCGGACAATAAGTGTCATTTTAAATAAAATTTAGTAAACGAATACATACTTTGATAATAACTCTTTATTTTTTTAGTTTTATAGTCCAGTTCAGACTCAGAAATATTTCCATGTGGTCAATTGAATCGATTGACTACGTGTCAAACACTTAAATTTGGAAAACGTGTACATAACTAAACAAGTTGATAATTTGCCAGACTCCTCAGGGCTCAGCCCAGGTGGTACTATACACAAACAACGTTTTTTTTTTACTGATGGACAAACGTTGATGAATTGGAAGCATAGGCAATTAAACACTCAGAGCCGGTTATTAAAACAGTGTTTAGGGCGTTGTTTAACAAACTGCCTTTTAGGCCCTTTAAAATTTAGCCAACGCACACCTAAACATCGTTTGCTATTCACAGCATCAAGAGGGCTTAGCCGGACTAGAAAACCATTCATCTACAACCCCTACTTAAAATAAACCCCCTGTACAAACGAAGGAGGAGGAGGAGGCCTACTGAGAGCCTTAAAACCGCGCGGGTCTAAGTTAGACTTTGTTTAAATAATCGATTCTCGGGGTCTTTACTGAATACTGAGGAGAAAGTGCGGCCTTTGTTATGACATCTGCAAAGGGCTCGATGTTCTAGTCTTCTAGGAAAAGGACGATAAAATATATCCCCCGTCTTACCACCTGTCTTGCTCATATAAAAATTATGTGACCTACGTCCTTAAAGAACCCACTCAATGTTCGTAAGTTAATAGTACGGGACGTAGTCCTCAGTGTGGTGCCTTTCTATCTCAAATTCACATTCACATTAAGGGGTATTCATTACGCATCACTTCATTAATTACAAACTACGCCATAAGCCGTCTTGCAAAGGTCCCCAAACCGGAGTTGTAAATTACCCCCAGAAAAGCCCTGAGGCAGTTTACAAAATTTACAACTCTACTGAGGGCCACCTATTATATTTCAAATCTATTCTCAGCTGCATTCTCGGCGTTAATACTTAAATAATAAATAATACATTGGACAAAGAACTGACGAGGTTATTTTTGTTAAGGAGAAACTATAAACAACTTAACAGAGTCTTATCCAGCATTCAGTTACTAGAGTCATTTTAACCAATGGAAAATATGAAAATAAACGGCTATGCTCTCTGCTCGAAAACAAACGTAAATTGATCGAGTTGAATTCATCACTGTAACCGCTCGTCAATTTTTCGAGAGTCAGGTTTGTCACAATGAATTGTTAATTAGATATTACTGGGAATTTTTTTTATCCGTTTGTGTCCCGTTGCCATTGTTCAAGGTTACACATAAAACGCACTTAAGTAATGTACTAGTTAAGAAGTTATTTATTTAAACACAGACAAACAAGAGAATTGCACAGGAAGAAAAAGAGGCGACGAAAGATGAACAATTACCCTGCAGTTCTGAGAAACTACTTGTTCTTAATGGGGATATTTTCAACCCTTCCAAATGACTCTGAAGGTACACGAACTCTGAGTTGTTTTTCACATTGTTCTAAGTCGGGTATATTTTTGTCTTATATTTCTTATAGTCTCAATTTGTCCATTTTCTCTAAAAAAGCTTTCGGCGAGAGATCCATTGGTAAATTCTTATATGTTAACTTCATGATGAATGAATTCTCCTACCTGAACATCACCAGTGTTGGACGGAATCTTATTCAAGAAGAAGACGATTGCGCCTTCGCCTGTCTAAACATCCCCTCGTGTTTCTCCTACAACATGGCTACCTTCCCTGATGTCAACGGAAAATTTCTCTGTGAACTACTCCCATCGGACAAGTATAACAACTCAGACAAATTCATCACCAGCAAGGAATTTCATCACTTTCATATTCCGGTGAGTGAAACTTCTTTTATCTTAAACTAAAATAAAAACAATATTTTTTAAAGTTCCTCCTATAGAAGCGTTTAGTAGTTGGTCGATGGTAAAATGTTCTCGCTTATAAAACTCACTAACCCTAACCATTTACTAAATTATATGAAAAAAATAACTTTATAATCACAATTACTGGTTAACGATTAATTTCATTGTGGTCCACAAACTGGCCGGAGGTAAACCAGTTGGCTTTTTACGAGGGTATCCGAGGAGATGAACTCGAGAACAAATCCGCTTAGCGGTCAGAGAAGAGAGAGAAGATTGAACTCGGCTCCTCCGGATCACAATTCCAGCGCTCTAACCGCCGCTCGACTACTCTGCTTTGATGGCAAGAGGGAACTGAAAAATAATAGTTACATGCCTTGGTCACTGAAAGACGAGGGAAGAAAAAAGCAACAACGCATTTCATTATTCTCTTTTAGGGTAGCTAGAGAAAGATCGCATGAAATTGTTTTAATAGGGAGGAGAGCAAACCACACTAGGTTTTTCATCTCTTTTTACGACACATGACTGTTAATGTCCATAATATTCGCTTAAGATGAGAATACTATATAACAGTGTCAAGAGGTTTAAAGAATTGATTTAAAAAACAAACTTTTCCGACTTCATCTTCATCTTCGTAACCGTAGATCTTAGAAAAGATCAAGTTTTATTCCATTTCTATCCTAGCCCTATTCATGGCCAATCACTCACTGCTATAAAATTTCACTGCAGCTTTAGTTTAGTGTCTCTGGACCATTTTCTCATGGTCTTTTTTGTAACGCACATTGGTGCTAAGAAAAACTGGGAAGGGCAAAAAGTCTTACAATAATACTTGCGACATGCTTTTTCAGTTTGCGCCCCCTAAACTGTGGAACTCACTACCACTAGATTTGCACAAGACACCATCCTTAACAAGTTTTAATTAAGAAACTGAAAACATATGTTTTTGCACAATTTTTAGAGAGTAGGTAAATGTTTTCGTAAAACGATTTTAATACCTGTAATGCATAATATATCGATAATTCTGGGTCTCGAGCCACTGTATTTCTAGCCTTGAAAATTTTATCTTAAAATATTTTGAAAACGCTTTCATGGATTTTGCTCAAACTTCACGAACATCGAGGCAGTTATATTGGAGGAAAAAGCTCTTGCGAACAATTTTGGAAAAAAACGCCCCAGTGCCGAGAAAGACGGCTGCAAGACTTATAGCTAATGACGTCATTTCGTTGCTATGACAACTCCGAAGTCATGGAAACCCTGATCATAACAAATTAATCTAATACAGCTGTGCTGATAATTTTTCCAAATCTTTGTTAATAACAACGTAGTCTATAGGCAAACTTGGGAGGTATTGACCCTGAAAAACCCTATCGAGCCACCTTAACGAACAAGAGCCAAATCAATATCACCCTGTCTCGGTAAAATTAACATGATAGTCCCAACAAATAGCAAGTCCTAACAAACAAAATGCACTGTACTGCATACTGGATGTAAAAAGATTTATTGTCTAAGAAAACTATGCATGTGAATGTGAGGAAAGGGACTATAGTTTGCATTTTTTTTCTCTCAGAATATCTGCGACACCCATCCTTGTCTTAACAACGGAAAGTGCTATTTTAAATACACCGACAAAAGGTACGGATGTGTTTGCGCATCTGGCTACACTGGAGAAAACTGCGAGAAAGGTAAATGTGAGCCTACTTTCAATAATTCAATAGACTTGCTTACAACTGCAGCAGAAGAACGATGATGATGCTGTAAGAAACAGACCGGCTGAGGTGATCAGGAAAAACTGTTAGCTAGTGTTAGATTTGATATACGACAAACGGAGCCAGCCCGTCAAAATCGCCAGGGAATCGAACCCCGACTCTTCTTCTTGGTGTTGAGTCAACAAATAATTGATGGATGAATAAACAATGGCGATAAATGGTGTTAGTAGTGGTATTATGTCATTTATGTTTCAAGCGCCTTTGCGAATCGAGTCTTATTGATGTTGTTGGGAGTGTTGCTTTGGGCGAGCTCTGTTTACTAGGATTTCATCACGGCGGTTTACCAGGAAATAAAACACTATGAAATAAAATGAAGCTTTATTAAAAGGGACAATCTTTTATGCAAGGTTTTAATATAACTTACGCGTAGAATGAATATGACTCATCGATAAATGCACTACTCCTTTGTCATTGGGTTCCCTGTGAAGCGTGATCCAGGAGCGAGGGACTGGTGTGAGCAGTTTCCCAAAGTTTCCTTCTACAGTAGATGACTAGATTATGATACAGATCAATAATTTTTTGTATGGTGACATACACTTTAAAGAATTGTATCATTTAATTTCGTGTTTTCCTCTGTTGAATTTGATTTTAGCTTCTCTTGAAGCGTTCTGTATGCAAACCCTATGCAAGATCACGAAACTGACAATGAGATTCAGATCAAACTGTGAAAAATCATTTTCTTACAGATATCGATGAATGTCAAGATCGAGTCCATGATTGCCTTCCTAGTGTGGCTTCCTGTGTAAATACATTGGGTTCGTTTAATTGTTCTTGTAACCATGGATACATAGGAGATGGAAAAACACGCTGTACAAAGGCACCAGGTAAAATCGGCTTTAAAAAGTTTTTTAGTCATGTTAAAAGTACGTATCATTAAGGCAGTTACATTAATATTTTGTACAATAGCAAAAGTAATTAATCAACTATAGACTTCAAATTTCTACTCGATATACTTTATTTTACAGCTCTCCGGGATGGGCGTAAAATAGGCTGAAATACTGGGTCCATCAGCCACGAAACAAGACCAAGACAAGGCACAAAATTCTAACAAGCAATATTATATGGCTGAATCCGCAAGCGGGAAAGATGAAGCGAATTCTGCGTTCTGATTGGCTACCCGAGCGGGCAAGATGAGCCTAACTTGCCTGCTCGGGATTTCCCGCGTTCGTCCCGCAAGAGCAATCATCTATATTGACCAAGCTTGTTCGGTCAAGTTGGCTGGATATTAATCTCGTTCTCTTTTGCGTTATTATTGACTTCGAATTCGTCTCAGTTCACAAAAGTGCAATAATGAACTTGGTCAATAACGCATATGTATTGACAATCCCTACAAATTCGCAAATTGTGGGTAGAAGAATATTTAGGGCTAACTTTTATGACGAGTACAGGTTTCTAATCAATAAATTTATTATTTTAATTTATTACTTATTTATTAGAATGTTATAACTTCACATCTCTGACCGATGCCGACAGGAAACCATCATTTCGTGTGGTCGAACCTGCTAAAAAAGACACGAATCTCGGTCCAGGATGGTTTCGTTTCCAAGGCGACGCAGGTAATATGATGACTACTTCATGTCCGTCTATAAGGAAGTGTAACACCCATGCATCCGGCTGGTTAAATGGTACGCATCCTGACGTAGCCGATGGTATTGTCACAAGACAAGTCTGTTTTAGTTACATTGCAGGATGTTGTGAGTGGAAAACCCAAATCCAAGTGAGGAATTGCAGTGAATACATTGTATACTATCTTCACAGTACACCAAATCCTGGAGGCTCTCTCCGCTACTGCGGCACTGACTAAAGTGAAGAAGATCTGCATATACCTGATCTGACCTGCTGTACATATATCAACCAAACAGTCACTACACCGTAGTATGCGACTGTTTTCAGGACGCTATCGCTTCTTTCATTAAAAGGTTACACAGAAAACTGGGGTACGGTCTAAATTTGTCCCCCAATACAATCTCAAAGTGCAATTCGAGGCAATACCGACCCAGCCTTTCACGCGCGTGAAATTATTTCCTGATTTCTTTTACAAATTCTGATAATGTAACTGAGTAGAAACTGAGTTAGTATTTGTATCTTTAAAGCTAGGGTGGATTTTAGACCTCCTTTTGCAGCTGTAAGGTCTGTGAGAATGTTAGCATTCCTGTGGCACGGTATTTA